ATATGACATACTTTAAGCTTGATATAAATATTTTATTGCTGTTTCAAAGGAGGAAGTCAAAGTGTTCTAAACCGCCCGGCTTGGTTTTGACAGTGTTTATGTTAAAATATAAATTTATTTTATTCAAACATATCAGAAATGCATTTATTTATTAAAAAATATATACAAAAATTTTCGAAAATTTGGACAGTGTTTATGTTAAAATATAAATTTATTTTATTCAAACATATCAGAAATGCATTTATTTATTAAAAAATATATACAAAAATTTTCGAAAATTAAAAAATGCAGATCAAAATTTATTAAAACACTAGCGGGCCCGGCAAACGTTGTCTTGCATAGCAATATTGTTGATGTATTATTCACATAACGATAGGCCAATAATAAGTTAGCTTTTTCTACCCTCCACGATTTGAGATAGTGCTCTGAAATTTGCACATACATTGCTACTACTCCTAGGTTCACTATTTAGGGTAGCCATATAACCGTACCTCGCAATATGAGAAGTTTTGACGATTTTTCAACAGAATGGGTTGTAATTGAACAGAAAATATACGTACCAAATATTATCAATATTGGCACATATTTCAGAGTACTGCCCATATAACGGTAGCAATAAACATTCCATATTTTGAAGATCTTGGGCACGGTTTACAACAGAATATCTGTACTTAAAATTATCAATATTGGCAAGTATCCAGGTAATCCCTTCATTTAATTTTATATATTGGATGATCATTGAGTAGAAAATGTTCCTTAAAAAATTGTGCAAGCTTCGGAAAAGCCTCCATATAATGGCACTCCACATTTTTGGAGTTTTGGGCACGTTTTTCAACCTAATCAGCTGTAATTGGTTGTTTTATTTGGAAGCATGAACCCTACTTAAAATTGTCAATATTGGTCCACTCCTCTGTATTTTGTTTGGACACGTGTTTCAACCAAATTAGCTGTAATTTTATATTTTAAATGATCAGTGAGTACAAAATCTCCTTACAAAGAATTATCAATATTGATCCAAGTTTCCGGGAAGCACCCATTTAATGGTAACCCCAATAATTTCTCATATGCTGTCAAATATTCCTACCAAAAATTTATATATCTCCATTCCCATTGTAGTAGCTAAAATATGTCATTCCGGGATATTGGAGGTGAGACACATTTCTGCGAAAAATTACCTATTTAGGTCCAAGTTTTGATATAGCAATACATACAGGTCTCGCCCCATTTTCAATACATTGACCTAATCTTCTCATAGAGTTGGCTATAATTTGGCATAACATCATCCCAGAAGTTATGCACTATATCTAAAGGTTCTTACTCCCGTTTTCCAATCTGAGTGTGATCGGTAGTTGGCATGTTCAATACGAATAGGTAACATCGGATGGAGGTTTTGGTACAACCATCAAATTAGATATTATGCTATTTTTCTAATTTTGCTGGTTTTTTGTCGGTTGTTCTCTTTACAGCTGAACTTAATGATAGATTTTTGCAAAGAAAATATCTGGTATATTAGTTTTCTCTGTGATACACATTTTTGGTATGGGATATATGCGACGTGGTCTGTTTATAAGTTCAAAGATATTGAAAAACGATTAGGCATTTAACCACCTGATTTCATATTTCCCGTTGCATATCAACATTTCATTTACTTTAAGGAACAACATGTTCATATTATTATTTTCAAACATATTAATCTAGGGCATGGATCTTAGAATCCGAATATCCTGAATGGCCACGAACTCGATTCAGAATGTCTTCTGATTTTCCATCCTTGCATTGGTCCCAATATGTACCTGTATTCTATGGAAAACGTGTAAATACAATGATCGCGTGTGCATTCAATAATATACTTCTCAATTATTTTTTGTATTCTCCCAAAAAAATGTTTCAATACAATGTCAATCCAATTTAAAAAAAATTAAATATTTTGAAAAATTTTAATAAATGACAAATGTATGCTTAAAGGAATGATACGCTACCAATTTTCGCTCAAAATACCTCAAAATAAGAACTACGACGTGGTGCTTTTCATATAGCTCGATACTAAATTCGCGGAAATGCAAATATGCTTCAAAATATTTTTTGCAAATTTTTCGCGATTTTCAAATTTTTCTCACCTTTTAAACCTTCCCTGAACATCCACGAACACTTCAACATTCAACATTGCCGGCCCGGCAAACGTTGTCTTGCATAGCAATATTGTTGATGTATAATTCACATAACGATAGCCCAATATTAAATAATCTTTAAGATAGTGCTCTGAAATTGCGGTATTGGTATTGGTGAGGCACCCAACCATTGAGCTTATTTTTGAATCCAGCTTTGTGTGAATGGTTTAATTTTTAGCTCCTGGACGATGTTACGACATGCCTGTAAAATTCGATCGTTCCACCGGTCTAATGGATTTCTTTTTCCCAAACCTAATATTAGGGATACTTATTGGGCAGAAATTCTCCCTAATTAGAATTTTCCATATTGACTCAAGTATTCGGATATCCCCATCTAACGGCATCCCTTAATATTCGGTATTTGGCTGCCATGTTATGTTCGCCCAAGGTTTCAAATATCCCCCATGTAATAGTAATCCACCTTTTTCGATACTGTGTTCCTATTATTATTATTTTCAAGAAGAATAATCTAGGGCACGTGTCTTAGAATCAGAACTCTTTCTGAATCTTCAGATTTTCATCCTTGCATTTGTTCCAAAATGTACGTGAATTTTATGGAAAACGTGTACATACAATGATCGCGAATTCATCTCAATTATTGTTTTGCATTCTCAGAAAAAAAGTTTCGTTACAATGCCAATTGAATAAAATAAAATATTTTGAAAATTTTCAATATTTGACAAATGAATATTTATTTTTTCATAACATTGTTTTTCATAATATTTTTTTTTCATAATATTTTTTCTTTTTTTTTTTCATAATATTTTTTCTTTTTTGCAAATTTTTCGCGCAATTCATTTTTATATATTTTTAAATTTTTCTCTATACCTTTTAAACCTTCCCATGAACCCGTGGCGGAAATGTACAATAACTTTTTTTGTAATAAATATATATGAAAGAAATTACATTAGTTATGTTGGGTATTAAAAAAATTTTTTTGGGTCTATAAACAGAAGAGGATTTTTACAAATATTTTTTTCGGTTTCTATAAATAGACGTGGATATTTAAAATATTTGTTTAGGGGGAGGTACCAGAAGGAGTGGATAAATGGGTCCCATCTTCGTACTTGATCTAAGCTTGGTAAAGGTAATAGGTTGTGCAAAGTTTGGTTCAAATCGGACATTCCATTCGCCTGATATTGGTATTATAAATATTGAAAATTTTGACCCTCTGTGGGGGAGGTACGAGAAGGAGTGGATCGATGGGTCCCATCTTCAAACTTGATCTAGGCTTCGTAAAGATAATAGGTTGTACAAAGTTTCGTTAAAATCTATCCGTTTGCATGTTATTATAAAATTAATTTTTTGCACAATTTTGATCATTTTGTGGGGGAGGTACCAGAAGGAGTGGACCGATATTCCCTATTTTCGAACTTTAACTTAATTTTTTTAGATATGCAATGAAATCGGTTGCTGCCTTCGAGAGTTATCGTGCGCACCAGCCAGTCAGGCAGAAAGACGGACGGACATGTGTAAATCGACTCAAAATTTTCTGAAACGTATTTGGTCCAAAGAAAGTCATTAGCCTGCATAGCTTAACTGGGTCTTCTAAGTGGTCATGTTTCAGTTTGTTATTTAAATAATATTTTATTTATTTTTCTCCAAATTTTGTAATCAATATTTTTTTTTTTTTGTTTGTTTTGCATGCAATGTTATTTGTCGTTTGTATTTTGTAACTAGTGAGTGGAGCAGTATAGTCGGACGGGGCCAACCATATGATACCCTACATAACATCAACGAAACTCTGACTTTCTGTGGTTCTATGTTCGGGGCCTGGGCAATATTTCGCGATATTTGAACCCTCTTGGCCGATTAGAGGTCAACAAATATTACTAATATTCAGTACAGCCCTTCTAATTACTTGTCCAGATTCCCTTCCGCCCTCTAGTGTGGTAATGGTTTACTAATCAATATATGAATACGTAAGCACCTGTAAATATTTAAGTGTGTCTGCTACATCCGAGTACATATGGGGAAGTAAATTAAATAAGCTTTCTAAAATGAGAAAAAATGAATGACTTATTGATTTAATGCATATTCTCTAATGGAACTATGGGTATATCTCGTTTCCTTTTGCCTGTTACAAGCATATTATGGAAACGAGGAAACGAGATAGACCCATACTTCCTTCAGATAATATGTATAGAATTAATAATTTTCTCATTTTTGAAAGCTTATTTAATTTTCTTCCCCGTAATATAATAAAACATATACGTCTTCATATCATAATTTCATCGTACCGCCCGAAGAAAAATAAATTTTTTCATTTTATGCGTATTTTTTCACATTTCAACCGCTGTAACTCAGCCAATCCTCAATCGATTTACGAAAGGAAAAAATCTTCTCTTCGAAAGAAAAAAAAGAATAACATAAATCCGGTAGAAATAAAGGAAGTTATTTGAGTTTCAAATTGAAAATCCATGAAACCATGTTTTCTCTATATTTACCGTTATAAAGTTAATGTTCGAAGTGGCCCAGTGGCCCATAACTGTGTCCTATATCCTGTTGTGACGACGAAAGTCGCTGCTCTCGTTTTCGCCCCCCACCATGATATTTCATATTTTTAATTGCTGTTGTATATTTGATAATAATGAATAAGAGATGAATTCTAATTGTGTGTCCACGTATATCGTACTTAAACGTTAGGTAATAGGTGCCAGTAATAGGTGGGAGCAACATAATGAGTGTCCAAAATCACAAATAGTGAGGTACCTTTTACGTAGTACTTTCCCTATAAAAGGGCAGAGCCGATCGACAAGGGATGAGTCGGTGAACAAGCGTCCAAGGTACAGCAAGTCAAAGGTATTACAAGTGTGGTGCGCGATCAATAATAATTTTTATTTAATCACGTTCTTCATATTTATGTTCAAAGGAATTCAAACCCGCCAGCTGGGAACATTGATTGGAATATTGCAGCGACATATTTAGACGTTTACATTTAGCCCGACGATTTTTAAACCAGAATTGTACATTTTTACTTTTCAAGCGGGGAAACTTTTGTCTATAATGATAGAGAAGAAAGAGGGAAAGGTTGATGGTTTAGAAATATTTGTTAGAAAATTAAAAATATAAAAAAAAACTAAAAAAAACCTAAAGGAAGCAGTTGTGGTTACTGCAGTCCACGCTTTTGAATTATAAATACAAAGATTTTCTAAATTTCACAAAATTCAAAATTACTCCCAGCCCTCCTTTTAAAATCCGTCCTAATCCTGGATTTTTCATCATATTTTTCGACATGTGTCATGTATTTTTAAAAATATTTTTGTTTACCATCCGTCCTAAGTGGAGATTTTTAAAAATATATTTTTATCTTCTATACTAAGGGGGGATTTTTTAAATATTTTTTTCAAGGACTAAAGCGAGCATTTTTTATACCCTCCACCATAGTATGGAGGGTATATTAATTTTGTCATTCCGTTTGTAACTCATCGAAATATTCATTTCCGACCCTATAAAGTACATATATTCTTGATCAGGGTAAAATTCTAAGACGATCTAGCAATGTCCGTCTCTCCATCCGTCTGTTTGTCTTTTGTCTGCAGGCAGGTCAAGTTCGAAGATGGGATTTATCAGTCCACGTTTAGGCATAGCTCCCATATAAGGGTACCCGCCAATTTTCGGTATTTTGGGGTTCTTGAGCGCGTTTTTCAGCCGAATTCGCTGAAATTTGGTACATTGGGTTCTTATTGGATACTAAATGTCTCCACAAAAAATTATAAGTATAGGTCCATATTTTCTGGTAGCCCCCATATAACGGTACCTCCTAATTTTTAGTATTTTGGGGGTTTTGGTCGTATTTGTTCACCGAATTGGCTGTAATTTAGTATTTTGAGTTCTTAATAGGCACCAAATCTCTCTACAAAAAATTATGTATATAGGTCCATTTTGTTGGGTAGCCCCCATATAAGGGTACCCCCAATTTTCGGTATTTTGGGGTTCTTAAGCGCGTTTTTCCGAATTGGTTGTAATTTAGTATTTTGAGTTCTTAATAGGTACCAAATCTCTCTACAAAAAATTATGTACATAGGTCCATTTTGTTGGGTAGCCCCCATATAAGGGTACCCCCAATTTTCGGTATTTTGGGGTTCTTGAGCGCGTTTTTCCGCCGAATTCGCTGAAATTTGCTACATTGGGTTCTTATTGGGTCCTAAATGTATGCACAAAAAATTATAAATATAGGTCCACTTTTTCTGGTAGACCCCATATAACGGTACCTCCCAATTTTCAGTATTTTGGGGGTTTTGATCGTATTTTTCCGCCGAATTAGTTGTAACTTAGTATTTTGAGTTCTTAATAGGTACCAAATCTCTCCACAAAAAATTATGAATATAGATCCATTTTTTCGGAGAACCCCCATATAAGGGTACCCCCAATTTTCGGTATTTTGGGGTTCTTGAGCGCGTAGTCGTATATGGTAACAAATCTCTCTACCAAAAATTATTAATATTCGCCCCCTTTTTGGGGTAGTCCCCATATAACCCCCTTTTTATATTAAAATAGTTATCTGATTTGTTCTGCGTTTTGAAATTTGTATTATGGTTTACATAATCCGTTTTTAGACAGGTCGGTATAGGTCCACTTTTTGGTATGTTCCCTATATTTTCATTTTTAGTACCTGTCAGTATATCTATGGTGGAGGGTATCCAAAGTTCGGCCCGGCCGAACTTAACGCTTTTTCACTTGTTTAATATTTTTTTTTTTATAAAATGATCATAACGTGAATTTTCGAAAAATATTCTTTCAAAGACTATAAGAAGCGGGAATATTTGAAGGAATTTTTCAAAATTTCTTACAACCCTCATTTATGAGTCATTTGAAATTCAAAATGCATACTTTTATAAAAAAATTAAAATTCATAAAAATCCAACTCACCTATAGGGCATTGTATTCAAATCGTCGGTATATTTCAAAATCAGACAATGCGATGGATGTGTATTCATAGCCCATTGTTCCAGCTTTGGCACCTCAGTGACGGGATCGATAAATGTACGACCCATACTTCCTTCAGAGAATATGTATAGAATCAATATTTTTCTCATTTTCGAAAGCTTATTTAATTTTCTTCCCCGTAATATAATAAAACATATACGTCTTCATATCATAATTCCATCGTACCGCCCGAAGAAAAATAAATTTTGTCATTTTATGCGTATTTTTTCACATTGCAACCGCTGTAACTCAGCCAATCCTCAATCGATTTACGAAAGGAAAAAATCTTCTCTTCGAAAGAAAAAAAGAATAACATAAATCCGGTAGAAATAAAAGAAGTTATTTGAGATTCAAATTGAAAATCCATGAAACCATGTTTTTCTCAGTATGTTTTTAAATATGTATAACTCCTTACTTAAATATGTATAACTCCTTAAATCATTGTTTTTTTTTTTTTTTTTTTTGTTATTTAATATAAGCAATATTGTCATTTTAGTTATTTAACTTTTACATAATTATTTTTATTTAATCACGTTCTTCATATTTATGTTCAAAGGAATTCAAACCCGCCAGCTGGGAACATTGTTTGGAATATTGCAGCGACATATTTAGACGTTTACATTTAGCCCGACGATTTTTAAACCAGAATTGTACATTTTTACTTTCCAAGCGGGGAAACTTTTGTCTATAATGATAGAGAAGAAAGAGGGAAAGGTTGATGGTTTAGAAATATTTGTTAGAAAATTAAAAATATAAAAAAACTAATCCTGGATTTTTCATCATATTTTTCGACATGTGTCATGTATTTTTAAAAATATTTTTGTTTACCATCCGTCCTAAGTGGAGATTTTTAAAAATATATTTTTAACTTCTATACTAAGGGGGGATTTTTTAAATATTTTTTTCAAGGACTAAAGCGAGCATTTTTTATACCCTCCACCATAGTATGGAGGGTATATTAATTTTGTCATTCCGTTTGTAACTCATCGAAATATTCATTTCCGACCCTATAAAGTACATATATTCTTGATCAGGGTAAAATTCTAAGACGATCTAGCAATGTCCGTCTCTCCATCCGTCTGTTTGTCTTTTGTCTGCAGGCAGGTCAAGTTCGAAGATGGGATTTATCAGTCCACGTTTAGGCATAGCTCCCATATAAGGGTACCCGCCAATTTTCGGTATTTTGGGGTTCTTGAGCGCGTTTTTCAGCCGAATTCGCTGAAATTTGGTACATTGGGTTTTTATTGGATACTAAATGTCTCCACAAAACATTATAAGTATAGGTCCATATTTTCTGGTAGCCCCCATATAACGGTACCTCCTAGTATTTTGGGGGTTTTGGTCGTATTTGTTCACCGAATTGGCTGTAATTTAGTATTTTGAGTTCTTAATAGGCACCAAATCTCTCTACAAAAAATTATGTGTATAGGTCCATTTTGTTGGGTAGCCCCCATATAAGGGTACCCCCAATTTTCGGTATTTTGGGGTTCTTGAGCGCGTTTTTCCGCCGAATTCGCTGAAATTTGCTACATTGGGTTCTCATTGGGTCCTAAATGTATGCACAAAAAATTATAAATATAGGTCCACTTTTTCTGGTAGACCCCATATAACGGTACCTCCCAATTTTCAGTATTTTGGGGGTTTTGATCGTATTTTTCCGCCGAATTAGTTGTAATTTAGTATTTTGAGTTCTTAATAGGTACCAAATCTCTCCACAAAAAATTATGAATATAGATCCATTTTTTCGGAGAACCCCCATATAAGGGTACCCCCAATTTTCGGTATTTTGGGGTTCTTGAGCGCGTAGTCATATATGGTAACAAATCTCTCTACCAAAAATTATTAATATTCGCCCCCTTTTTGGGGTAGTCCCCATATAACCCCCTTTTTATATTAAAATAGTTATCTGATTTGTTCTGCGTTTTGAAATTTGTATTATGGTTTACATAATCCGTTTTTAGACAGGTCGGTATAGGTCCACTTTTTGGTATGTTCCCTATATTTTAATTTTTAGTACCTGTCAGTATATCTATGGTGGAGGGTATCCAAAGTTCGGCCCGGCCGAACTTACCGCTTTTTCACTTGTTTAATATTTTTTTTTATAAAATTATCATAACGTGAATTTTCGAAAAATATTCTTTCAAAGACTATAAGAAGCGGGAATATTTGAAGGAATTTTTCAAAATTTCTTACAACCCTCATTTATGAGTCATTTCAAATTCAAAATGCATACTTTTATAAAAAAATTAAAATTCATAAAAATCCAACTCACCTATAGGGCATTGTATTCAAATCGTCGGTTTATTTCAAAATCAGACAATGCGATGGATGTGTATTCATAGCCCATTGTTCCAGCTTTGGCACCTCAGTGACGGGATCGATAAATGTACGATCCCGTTTGCGACGTTCTTCATTTGAAATTTTTGACAGGTCATCGGCATACATTGTCGAGTTTGCTTGCATTCCTGCAGCATCGTCATCCATATCGAGATCTTCATCGTCCTTTTTCGAGGATGTGGATAGGACGTGAATTGTTAAGGGTATATTTCAAAATCAGACTATACGATGGATTTGTATTTATAGCAAAACATTTTTCCAGCTTTGACACCTCAGTGACGGGATCTATAAATGTACGATGCCGTTTGCGAGGTTCTTCATTTGAAATACTAGACATATTGAAGTCATCGCCAGGCATTGACGAATTTGCTTGCATTCCTGCGCAGCATCGTCATCCATATCGAGATCTTCATCGTCCTTTTTCGAGGATGTGGGTTTCGGTGAAGAGGGACGTAAATTGGTATGGGAATTATCCAATTGCTGTTGTTGTTGCTGGTTGTATTATTGCTGCCACCACCACTGCTGCTGCGTTGTTGTTCGCCTGGTCGCTGTCGGTTTGGTGACGTTCGTGGATGGTTAATGATAGTGAAAATTTTGGAGAATTTGGACGACTTTGTTCATCATCCAGATCATCTGTATGCTGTGACATGTCATTGGATAGCGAGAGGTTACTCATGCTGGAAACCATAATTTGTTGCTGACTACTCATGCTCCGGTGCTGCTACCACCCGATGTTTGACCCATTTGACCATTCATGGCTGCCTGCGTAGCACCAAATCCACCACGCATTTCAGCAAGTTTCTGGGCGGCCCGGGCATTCTTAAACCAATACACGACATTATTGATATCCAATGGCTTGCGGCCACGGCGCGATTCCAAGGCATTCAATTGCACCACATAGGCCTGTATCGGCTGCATTGATGGATGGCGATTTTCCTGAAACATTTTCTGTAGCTGCGGCAATTCCATTTCTGGATCAAAACCTGTGCGCGTACGTGTCCTTTGATTGGAAAATTTTGAATATGATGTACTGCTGCTGCCACCAGCGCTTCAGTACCCATATTATGTGCCATATCATTGTTAACCCCAACCGGTGGGGCACCCACTAAAGGTAGCAGCTTGGGGTGAAAATTTACGACCAAATTTTTCGGGTATATCACCGCCGGGTAAAGCGAAGGGATTTTGATATGAACTGCTGCAAATTTGTCAGAGGGTGACCTAGAAGGATATATGGTGAAAAATGGGTTAGTTGGATGTAAAGAATAATAAAAGATGAGTAGAGCTGCATAATTTAAGATCTGTCCGAAAGTTTTTGAAAATTCGAACGTCTATCAAAATGTCGTATTTAAAAACAAGTGAAAAAGCGTTAAGTTCGGCCGGGCCGAACTTTGGATACCATTCACCATAGTTATACTGATAGATACATGCAATGAAAAAAAAAAAAAACATATCAAAACATATCGATAATTCTACAAACCGATTTATGTAAACCATTATGTACACCAAGTACAAACTTCAGCAATTTTTGATGGGGATTTTTCCTAAAATCTGTAAGAACCAAAAAGTGGACTGATACTGATAAAACATGATATAAAATCCTCAAGCTACTGTAATTTGGATTACAAAGTTATAGGGGGCTATTCCTAACGGGGGACCAATATTGATTAACTAGTGTTGGAAATAGTGAATATTTGGGGATATCATCTCAATTTTTTTTATCTCAATTCTTTCCTTCAGGAGGCATCACTATATTGAGGAGATGCCTAAATGTCTGCCGATATTTTTCATTATCGTCATGTTTGAGTTTTTTTATTACAATATCTTTAGAAGACTAGACATATTGAAGTCATCGCCAGGCATTGACGAATTTGCTTGCATTCCTGCGCAGCATCGTCATCCATATCGAGATCTTCATCGTCCTTTTTCGAGGATGTGGGTTTCGGTGAAGAGGGACGTAAATTGGTATGGGAATTATCCAATTGCTGTTGTTGTTGCTGGTTGTATTATTGCTGAAACCACCACTGCTGCTGCGTTGTTGTTCGCCTGGTCGCTGTCGGTTTGGTGCCGTTCGTGGATGGTTAATTATAGTGGCAATTGTGGACAATTTGGACGACTTTTATCATCTGAATGCTGTGACATGGTATCAATATCCACCGATTTCGAACGCAGAGGACTCTTTATAAAGTCATTGGGTAGCGAGAGCTTATCCATGCTGGAAACCATAATTTGTACCTGTGTGGATTCTCCGCTCGCATTACCACCTTCTTCGGTGTGATGTTCCTCTTTAGCCAAGTTATTTGAGTCATTCTTCTCACGTTCTTCATAGGATCGTGATTGTGAGCGTTCATTTTGCCATTCACTGAGATTTTCAATTTTCTCATCCACTTTCGTGGTCATGGAAGATATGTGGTCATTTAGTCCCACCTTGTTGTCAATCGCCTGGTTGCTGTCGGTTTGGTGACGTTCGTGGATGGTTAATGATAGTGAAAATTTTGGAGAATTTGGACGACTTTGTTCATCATCCAGATCATCTGTATGCTGTGACATGTCATTGGGTAGCGAGAGGTTACTCATGCTGGAAACCATAATTTGTTGCTGACTACTCATGCTCCGGTGCTGCTACCACCCGATGTTTGACCCATTTGACCATTCATGGCTGCCTGCGTGGCACCAAATCCACCACGCATTTCAGCATGTTTCTGGGCGGCCCGGGCACTCTTAAACCAATACACGACATTATTGATATCCAATGGCTTGCGACCACGGCGCGATTTCTAAGCATTCAATTGCAACACATAGGCCTGTATCTGCTACCTTGATGGATGGCGATTTTCCTGAAACCGTTTCTGTAGCTGCGGCAATTTCATTTCGGGATAAAAAACTTGTGCGCGTACGTGTCCTTTGATTGGAAAATTTTGAATATGATGTACTGCTGCTGCCACCAGCGCTTCAGTACCCATATTATGTGCCATATCATTGTTAACCCCAAACCGGTGGGGCACCCACAAAAGGTAGCAGCTTGGGGTGAAAATTTACGACCAAATTCTTCGGGTATATCACCGCCGGGTAAAGCGAAGGGATTTTGATATGAACTGCTGCAAATTTGTCAGAGGGTGACCTAGAAGGAGATATGGTGAAAAATTGGTTAGTTGGATGTAAAGAATAATAAAAGATGAGTAGAGCTGCATAATTTAAGATCTGTCCGAAAGTTTTTGAAAATTCGAACGTCTATCAAAATGTCGTATTTAAAAACAAGTGAAAAAGCGTTAAGTTCGGCCGGGCCGAACTTTGGATACCATCCACCATAGTTATACTGATAGATACATGCAATGAAAAAAAAAAACATATCAAAACATATCGATAATTCTACAAACCGATTTATGTAAACCATTATGTACACCAAGTACAAACTTCAGCAATTTTTGATGGGGATTTTTCCTAAAATCTGTAAGAACCAAAAAGTGGACTGATACTGATAAAACATGATATAAAATCCTCAAGCTACTGTAATTTGGATTACAAAGTTATAGGGGGCTATTCCTAACGGGGGACCAATATTGATTAACTAGTGTTGGAAATAGTGAATATTTGGGGATATCATCTCAATTTTTTTTATCTCAATTCTTTCCTTCAGGAGGCATCACTATATTGAGGAGATGCCTAAATGTCTGCCGATATTTTTCATTATCGTCATGTTTGAGTTTTTTTATTACAATATCTTTAGAAGACTAGACATATTGAAGTCATCGCCAGGCATTGACGAATTTGCTTGCATTCCTGCGCAGCATCGTCATCCATATCGAGATCTTCATCGTCCTTTTTCGAGGATGTGGGTTTCGGTGAAGAGGGACGTAAATTGGTATGGGAATTATCCAATTGCTGTTGTTGTTGCTGGTTGTATTATTGCTGAAACCACCACTGCTGCTGCGTTGTTGTTCGCCTGGTCGCTGTCGGTTTGGTGCCGTTCGTGGATGGTTAATTATAGTGGCAATTGTGGACAATTTGGACGACTTTTATCATCTGAATGCTGTGACATGGTATCAATATCCACCGATTTCGAACGCAGAGGACTCTTTATAAAGTCATTGGGTAGCGAGAGCTTATCCATGCTGGAAACCATAATTTGTACCTGTGTGGATTCTCCGCTCGCATTACCACCTCCTTCGGTGTGATGTTCCTCTTTAGCCAAGTTATTTGAGTCATTCTTCTCACGTTCTTCATAGGATCGTGATTGTGAGCGTTCATTTTGCCATTCACTGAGATTTTCAGTTTTCTCATCCACTTTCGTGGTCATGGAAGATATGTGGTCATTTAGTCCCACCTTGTTGTCAATCGCCTGGTTGCTGTCGGTTTGGTGACGTTCGTGGATGGTTAATGATAGTGAAAATTTTGGAGAATTTGGACGACTTTGTTCATCATCGAGATCATCTGTATGCTGTGACATGTCATTGGGTAGCGAGAGGTTACTCATGCTGGAAACCATAATTTGTTGCTGACTACTCATGCTCCGGTGCTGCTACCACCCGATGTTTGACCCATTTGACCATTCATGGCTGCCTGCGTGGCACCAAATCCACCACGCATTTCAGCACGTTTCTGGGCGGCCCGGGCATTCTTAAACCAATACACGACATTATTGATATCCAATGGCTTGCGGCCACGGCGCGATTCCAAGGCATTCAATTGCACCACATAGGCCTGTATCGGCTGCATTGATGGATGGCGATTTTCCTGAAACATTTTCTGTAGCTGCGGCAATTCCATTTCTGGATCAAAACCTGTGCGCGTACGTGTCCTTTGATTGGAAAATTTTGAATATGATGTACTGCTGCTGCCACCAGCGCTTCAGTACCCATATTATGTGCCATATCATTGCTAACGCCAACCGGTGGGGCACCCACAAAAGTTAGCAGCTTGGGGTGAAAATTTACGACCAAATTCTTCGGGTATATCACCGCCGGGTAAAGCGAAGGGATTTTAATATGAACTGCTGCAAATTTGTCAGAGGGTGACCTAGAAGGAGATATGGTGAAAAATTGGTTAGTTGGATGTAAAGAATAATAAAAGATGAGTAGAGCTGCATAATTTAAGATCTGTCCGAAAGTTTTTGAAAATTCGAACGTCTATCAATATGTCGTATTTAAAAACAAGTGAAAAAGCGTTAAGCTCGGCCGGGCCGAACTTTGGATACCATCCACCATAGTTATACTGATAGATACATGCAATGAAAAAAAAAAACATATCAAAACATATCGATAATTCTACAAACCGATTTATGTAAACCATTATGTACACCAAGTACAAACTTCAGCAATTTTTAATGGGGATTTTTCCTAAAATCTGTAGGAACCAAAAAGTGGACTGATACTGATAAAACATGATATAAAATCCTCAAGCTACTGTAATTTGGATTACAAAGTTATAGGGGGCTATTCCTAACGGGGGACCAATATTGATTAACTAGTGTTGGAAATAGTGAATATTTGGGGATATCATCTCAATTTTTTTTATCTTAATTCTTTCCTTCAGGAGGTATCACTATATTGAGGAGATGCCTAAATGTCTGCCGATATTTTTCATTATCGTCATGTTTGAGTTTTTTTATTACAATATCTTTAGAAGACTAGACATATTGAAGTCATCGCCAGGCATTGACGAATTTGCTTGCATTCCTGCGCAGCATCGTCATCCATATCGAGATCTTCATCGTCCTTTTTTGAGGATGTGGGTTTCGGTGAAGAGGGACGTAAATTGGTATGGGAATTATCCAATTGCTGTTGTTGTTGCTGGTTGTATTATTGCTGCCACCACCACTGCTGCTGCGTTGTTGTTCGCCTGGTCGCTGTCGGTTTGGTGCCGTTCGTGGATGGTTAATTATAGTGGCAATTGTGGACAATTTGGACGACTTTTATCATCTGAATGCTGTGCCATGGTATCAATATCCACCGATTTCGAACGCAGAGGACTCTTTATAAAGTCATTGGGTAGCGAGAGCTTATCCATGCTGGAAACCATAATTTGTACCTGTGTGGATTCTCCGCTCGCATTACCACTTTCTTCGGTGTGATGTTCCTCTATAGCCAAGTTATTTGAGTCATTCTTCTCACGTTCTTCATAGGATCGTGATTGTGAGCGTTCATTTTGCCATTCACTGAGATTTTCAGTTTTCTCATCCACTTTCGTGGTCATGGAAGATATGTGGTCATTTAGTCCCACCTTGTTGTCAATCGCCTGGTTGCTGTTTGTTTGGTGACGTTCGTGGATGGTTAATGATAGTGAAAATTTTGGAGAATTTGGACGACTTTGTTCATCATCCAGATCATCTGTATGCTGTGACATGTCATTGGATAGCGAGAGGTTACTCATGCTGGAAACCATAATTTGTTGCTGACTACTCATGCTCCGGTGCTGCTACCACCCGATGTTTGACCCATTTGACCATTCATGGCTGCCTGCGTGGCACCAAATCCACCACGCATTTCAGCACGTTTCTGGGCGGCCCGGGCATTCTTAAACCAATTCACGACATTATTGATATCCAATGGTTTGCGGCCACGGCGCGATTCCAAGGCATTCGATTGCACCACATAGGCCTGTATCGGCTGCATTGATGGATGGCGATTTTCCTGAAACATTTTCTGTCGCTGCGGCAATTCCATTTCTGGATCAAAACCTGTGCGCGTACGTGTCCTTTGATTGGAAAATTTTGAATATGATGTACTGCTGCTGCCACCAGCGCTTCAGTACCCATATTATGTGCCATATCATTGTTAACCCCAACCGGTGGGGCACCCACAAAAGGTAGCAGCATGGGGTGAAAATTTACGACCAAATTTTTCGGGTATATCACCGCCGGGTAAAGCGAAGGGATTTTGATATGAACTGCTGCAAATTTGTCAGAGGGTGACCTAGAAGGATATATGGTGAAAAATGGGTTTGTTGGATGTAAAGAATAATAAAAGATGAGTATGATGAGTCATCCATATCGAGATCTTCATCGTCCTTTTTCGAGGATGTGGGTTTCGGTGAAGAGGGACGTAAATTGGTATGGGAATTATCCAATTGCTGTTGTTGTTGCTGGTTGTATTATTGCTGCCACCACCACTGCTGCTGCGTTGTTGTTCGCCTGGTCGCTGTCGGTTTGGTGCCGTTCGTGGATGGTTAATTATAGTGGCAATTGTGGACAATTTGGACGACTTTTATCATCTGAATGCTGTGCCATGGTATCAATATCCACCGATTTCGAACGCAGAGGACTCTTTATAAAGTCATTGGGTAGCGAGAGCTTATCCATGCTGGAAACCATAATTTGTACCTGTGTGGATTCTCCGCTCGCATTACCACTTTCTTCGGTGTGATGTTCCTCTATAGCCAAGTTATTTGAGTCATTCTTCTCACGTTCTTCATAGGATCGTGATTGTGAGCGTTCATTTTGCCATTCACTGAGATTTTCAGTTTTCTCATCCACTTTCGTGGTCATGGAAGATATGTGGTCATTTAGTCCCACCTTGTTGTCAATCGCCTGGTTGCTGTCGGTTTGGTGACGTTCGTGGATGGTTAATGATAGTGAAAATTTTGGAGAATTTGGACGACTTTGTTCATCATCCAGATCATCTGTATGCTGTGACATGTCATTGGATAGCGAGAGGTTACTCATGCTGGAAACCATAATTTGTTGCTGACTACTCATGCTCCGGTGCTGCTACCACCCGATGTTTGACCCATTTGACCATTCATGGCTGCCTGCGTGGCACCAAATCCACCACGCATTTCAGCACGTTTCTGGGCGGCCCGGGCATTCTTAAACCAATTCACGACATTATTGATATCCAATGGCTTGCGGCCACGGCGCGATTCCAAGGCATTCAATTGCACCACATAGGCCTGTATCGGCTGCATTGATGGATGGCGATTTTCCTGAAACATTTTCTGTCGCTGCGGCAATTCCATTTCTGGATCAAAACCTGTGCGCGTACGTGTCCTTTGATTGGAAAATTTTGAATATGATGTACTGCTGCTGCCACCAGCGCTTCAGTACCCATATTATGTGCCATATCATTGTTAACCCCAACCGGTGGGGCACCCACAAAAGGTAGCAGCATGGGGTGAAAATTTACGACCAAATTTTTCGGGTATATCACCGCCGGGTAAAGCGAAGGGATTTTGATATGAACTGCTGCAAATTTGTCAGAGGGTGACCTAGAAGGATATATGGTGAAAAATGGGTTAGTTGGATGTAAAGAATAATAAAAGATGAGTATGATGAGTCATCCATATCGAGATCTTCATCGTCCTTTTTCGAGGATGTGGGTTTCGGTGAAGAGGGACGTAAATTGGTATGGGAATTATCCAATTGCTGTTGTTGTTGCTGGTTGTATTATTGCTGCCACCACCACTGCTGCTGCGTTGTTGTTCGCCTGGTCGCTGTCGGTTTGGTGCCGTTCGTGGATGGTTAATTATAGTGGCAATTGTGGACAATTTGGACGACTTTTATCATCTGAATGCTGTGCCATGGTATCAATATCCACCGATTTCGAACGCAGAGGACTCTTTATAAAGTCATTGGGTAGCGAGAGCTTATCCATGCTGGAAACCATAATTTGTACCTGTGTGGATTCTCCGCTCGCATTACCACTTTCTTCGGTGTGATGTTCCTCTATAGCCAAGTTATTTGAGTCATTCTTCTCACGTTCTTCATAGGATCGTGATTGTGAGCGTTCATTTTGCCATTCACTGAGATTTTCAGTTTTCTCATCCACTTTCGTGGTCATGGAAGATATGTGGTCATTTAGTCCCACCTTGTTGTCAATCGCCTGGTTGCTGTCGGTTTGGTGACGTTCGTGGATGGTTAATGATAGTGAAAATTTTGGAGAATTTGGACGACTTTGTTCATCATCCAGATCATCTGTATGCTGTGACATGTCATTGGATAGCGAGAGGTTACTCATGCTGGAAACCATAATTTGTTGCTGACTACTCATGCTCCGGTGCTGCTACCACCCGATGTTTGACCCATTTGACCATTCATGGCTGCCTGCGTGGCACCAAATCCACCACGCATTTCAGCACGTTTCTGGGCGGCCCGGGCATTCTTAAACCAATTCACGACATTATTGATATCCAATGGTTTGCGGCCACGGCGCGATTCCAAGGCATTCGATTGCACCACATAGGCCTGTATCGGCTGCATTGATGGATGGCGATTTTCCTGAAACATTTTCTGTCGCTGCGGCAATTCCATTTCTGGATCAAAACCTGTGCGCGTACGTGTCCTTTGATTGGAAAATTTTGAATATGATGTACTGCTGCTGCCACCAGCGCTTCAGTACCCATATTATGTGCCATATCATTGTTAACCCCAACCGGTGGGGCACCCACAAAAGGTAGCAGCATGGGGTGAAAATTTACGACCAAATTTTTCGGGTATATCACCGCCGGGTAAAGCGAAGGGATTTTGATATGAACTGCTGCAAATTTGTCAGAGGGTGACCTAGAAGGATATATGGTGAAAAATGGGTTAGTTGGATGTAAAGAATAATAAAAGATGAGTAGAGCTGCATAATTTAAGATCTGTCCGAAAGTTTTTGAAAATTCGAACGTCTATCAAAATGTCGTATTTAAAAACAAGTGAAAAAGCGTTAAGTTCGGCCGGGCCGAACTTTGGATACCATTCACCATAGTTATACTGATAGATACATGCAATGAAAAAAAAAACATATCAAAAAGTGGGTATATACCGATAATTCTACAAACCGACTTATGTAAACCATTATGTACACCAAGTACAAACTTCAGCAATTTTTATTGGGGATTTTTCCTAAAATCTGTAAGAACCAAAAAGTGGACTGATACTGATAAAACATGATATAAAATCCTCAAGCTACTGTAATTTGGATTACAAAGTTATAGGGGGCTATTCCTAACGGGGGACCAATATTGATTAACTAGTGTTGGAAATAGTGAATATTTGGGGATATCATCTCAATTTTTTTATCTCAATTCTTTCCTTCAGGAGGTATCACTATATTGAGGAGATGCCTAAATGTCTGCCGATATTTTTCATTATCGTCATGTTTGAGTTTTTTTATTACAATATCTTTAGAAGGCGGAATGCTTACAACAGATGGCTAAATAGTCTTTGTAGGGTAAAATTTTACTATTCCCCGTAACGACTACCCGACCCTAAAACACGAAACAAATTAGATAACTATTTTCATATAAACCAGTAAGGAAAGTAGTAAAGTCGGACTGGGCCGACACTATGATACCCATCACCACTTTGGGGATATTCTACATATGTATCTTTACAGATGTCATCTTTTCGAAGAAACATTGACATAAAATTGAACGAACTTCAAAATGCGATATTTTTCTATAAGTAAAAAGACTAACATCAATCCTTACACATGCCATTCTTCAATCTATTCCATAGATTTTAAGTAAACTTTACGGACGCTATTTGGTATGCTTCGCTGTTTAAAATGTAATATCAACCAGGCATCCATTGATTATTTATTATACATGGAAGCTATGCTATGTCTAAATCTGAACCGATTATCACGAAACTTTGCATACAACATTCTAGACTCAATTTAGTACGCTATACCAAATTTCGTTCAAATCGGAAGATATATAGGCACTTTGGTACACCATTTACATGAAATCTGACGAAAATATATATGGGAGCTATATCTAAATCTGAACCGATTTTTCCCAATTTCAATAGGGTTCGTCCTTGGGCCAAATGAATGCGATGTGCCAAATTTCATCTAATTCGAATAATAAATGCGACCTGTATTTTGTTCACAATTTAACATGGACAGACGGACGGACATGCGTAAATCGACTTAGAAAGTGATTCTATGCATATTCTCAAAAGGAACAATGGGTCTATCTTGTTTCCTTTTGCATGTTACAAACATATGCAGAAAGACATAATACTCTGTACCACAGTGTGGTGAAAGGTATAAAAATGGGCTTATATGGGGACTACCCCTAAAATGTGGCGAATATTAATAATTTCGGTTGAAAAACGCGCTCAAGAACCTCAAAATACCGAAAATTGGGGGGTACCCTTATATGGGGGCTATCAGAAAAAGTGGACCGATGTTTATAATATGTGTAGATATTTGGCACTAAAAAAGAACCCAATGTACCAAATTTCAGCGAATTCTGTGGAAAACGCGCTCAAGATCCCCAAACTACCGAAAATTAGGGGGTACCCTTATATGGGGGCTATCCAAAAAAAAAAAAAAAAAAACAAATATTTATACTTTTTGGTGGGGAGATTTAATACCCAATAAGAACTCAAAGTACCAAATTTCAACGAATTCGGTTGAAAAACGAGATCAAGAACCTCAAAATACCGAAAATTGGGGAGTACCCTTATATGGGAGCTA